TGTCTTCCAACTATTTGTCCGATTTCGCGCAAAGATTTACCTTTTTTATGCAAATCTAATCTAATTTTTCGAGTTTCAGTAGTTGTTTGCTTGCCCATTACAAAATATAATATTTTTGCGACTTAACATCAGAAATAACAAATGGGATATGAAAAAATATTCTTTACTACACTCACTCGCTTGAATAGTAACGGTTTCCAAATAATATTTGTCGTTTTTCCAAAATAAGTATTATAAACAAACAACGGTTGTCGCCACTGATTACTTTTTTTGACGCGATAAAACGAGAGTATTTGTAATTTAAGTGAATTATTTTTGGCTGTGTTTAGTTTTTGTTTATTATTTATACTAAGTTAAACTCTTATGATATAAGCCTTGAATTATGTAATACAACACAGTGTTATAAACACTTTAATATTAATAGAACTGCTGTTTACTTATTTTTGACGCTCACAGTATGTAATGTGCTCACTACAATTGAGTGCAATTGAGTGCATTTGAGACCTTATTACTCTCGTCCTTCACACACCGAGTGCATAACAAAGCAGCACCACAGCACTTAGGGATATAAACGCCCAGATTGTTCGAGAAAACCACTTTCGCCAAAAACCACTCTGTGAGAGGACGTTCCTAGTAGCTTTTATTAGAGTCAATTTGAGCTTCTAAAAGAACGTTCCCTCTAGGCATAAAGAGTTTTGCCATAAACTATTTTTGCGTTCGTACTATTTCGAGATCAGAATTTTATTTTAAGAATAATGGAACGGGTTCTCCACCAGAAGGGGTTTCTCCCCGATACTGCTTAACTTCTACAAACGAGAATGGATATTGATACCATTAACACCTTCGCGACTCCGTTCCAGCGCATGGCATACTTGGTGTTAAATCCACTTATAACAGACGAAGAGCTCGAGTAGGCCTAAGATTCTAAAGTGATCCTTACGAAGTACATAAAGAAATTTAAATTCTAAAACAATTTCTAATTTAATTATTTTATAACAAAACAAATAATTTAAGTAAAAATTAAAATACAAAACCGTATTTTATTGGAAGTGAGAGGAGTATGTTTTTAATTTTTTTAGCACTTTCTTTTTCATGTAACAACAAATACAATTATATATTTTTTTATTTACAGGCAATCCTCTGAGCAATAATTATTCTCTCCAAAATTTTCAACAATGAATTCAAGAAGGCTTTACGTCCATGGCAAAATTGTGATAAATAAAAAATACAACTCTACTTACTAACTTAAGTATATTCCATATATGGTATACATATATCCAAGAGATTGGCGCTGCTAAAACTAAATGCAAACACTTAAGTTTTATAATTTTGTTAACATTTTAATATGTAAAAAAAGATGCTTACGACCATGACATAATGTCTAGTTGCGATATAGATATAAAGTGTACCTAGAATTATATATTCTGGTCGAAAACATTGCCAAACATTTTGTATTGGTTTGGTATTATTAATTGAGGTATGCATTCAAAGGGTTATATTGATTCAATTAGTTAAGATCTTTATTAATACATTATGCATTTTTATATATGGTATAAACAACCATATTTGTTTAAGTTTTGAAGTTAAGTGAAATAAGTTCTATGAATTTTTTAACTTCCAAATTTTTTTATTTTATTTTTATTTTTACAATTTATTAATTAAAAGTCGCAATAAACTGTTATGAATATATAATAATACTTAAAATTAAGAATAGTTTACGTGTATGTCCTTTAGCATTAACATACATATAAAAGTATAAAATACAACATTTTAGTGAAAGAACTACTAAATAATATTTTTTAAAAAATACCAATTTGAAAATTAAAGTTTTTATACTCATGCAAAATGTTACTACTGAATATAATAGCTTCGTTGACTTAACTGCTGTATGTTTCACCTGAAACTAAGCCAGGTAGATATAACGTTATACATACATATATAAATCCCCGTGACAGTTTATCTTTCCCTCCGTGTAAGCTGTCACTTGGGTAAAAATTATAATATCTTGATGAAATTTGGTGCACATGATCCCTGGCAATACAATAAGGCGAAGTTCGTAGATGGGCATAATCAGATCACGGCCTCAGACATTAAATGAAAACATATAAAGTGCCATAACTAAGTATATATCTCCTAGACCTAAAGCTATATTCAGTGTTGTCGTATATCTCATACAGCTCATAATGTCAGCGAATGTGAAATTTGCCGTGGCCAACGCGCAAAGGAAAAGGACAAGGACCATAAATCTTTCGCCGAACATCGAAAACTCGACTCATCAGATGCCTCTGCACCATATAGCAGAACGAGAATAATAAGTGACTCAAAGCGTTTTGTTTTTGTTCGTCGAGAGAGTACTTTACTTCTTAATACTTTACTTTACTTAGTCCAAAGGAGCACCTGTTGGCAAGAGATATTCTGCGTTGGATTTTGAGGCTGACGTTGTTGTTGGTTCCAAGATACTTCAAAGTTACAACTGTCACAATCACGTTGGTGTCTAGACGCGAGTGCGCAGAAATTTTTAAAGCTTGAAAAGTAAATTTTCTGAATATGTGATGGTTATTTTTGAGAAACGAAAATTAGTTAGTGAAATTTTAGTTTGAATGAAAAAACAAAAATTTCTATGTTAAATGTATGAGAACCTAAAAAAATTGCGACCCATTAGAGTTAAGCTACAGCGCCTGGCTTGAGAGAGGATTTTTTGTTTGTCAATCACTAACATTTGAGGGGGTAAGAGTTGAAAGAAAATTCAAATTTTATTTCGAAACAGTTATATGGTATACATATATATAATACAGTGGCGTCCTTTGATCGTTTTGTCTTTTTAAATTACACGTTGTGAATCCTAAAACGGGAAAGTATCACATTTCCGACTGATAAGATGATCTACGCTTTCTTCGTAGCAGATTGCCCGGAGAAACCTACCACTTCGACCGTTCCTTGATCTTTGGTTCCTGCGTTCCAGCATCGATTTCGTTGTGAATCCTAAAACTACTATGTACTATTGTTTTTCAATAGGGACGCTATAAAAGTAGGCCAATAGGGGCAGCAAACGACGCCATATTTCTTCCCGCTCTTTTAATATTTGATGAACTTTATACGAATATCGAACATAAAGTTGCAGCAGTATCGGCGGATCGTGGTGGCCATGCAAAAGAAATCGAGTTCCATACATAAGGGCATCGAATGTACTTTCCGGAATAAACAATTTGATCGATATGCCAACTCATTTTTGTTTTAGTTAAAAAAACCTTTGGCGCACTATTATTAAAACCTGTTATTATTCATAAAGAACCTCATAAATCGACAAACACTTTGGGCATGTAAATAATAATATGTAATAACTTTGTTAATACGTCTAACATTAATTGCGGTAAGATTTTTAGACTTACCCTGAATACTTATTGGATAATGTCCTGTTAGAATTTCAAAGAGTGCGGCAAATTGAATGTTGCTAAAAACAAGTAGTTCAATGGATTTCTTGCGTTCTTTCTAGCTATCTCTTGACAACGCTTGCTACGATACCATGTGATCCATAGGTCCACCGCTTGAAAGCAAGATCCAGCTCTCTCTCTTCGTTACAACGAAGCACCCAAACGAGTTCGAGAATGAAATAAATTGATGCTATTGGTAAGAAGCATAGACATACTCCGTTCCCACGATAGTGGGTCTACGTAACCGGAACGGACCCGGATTTTTATCGTTCCAAGGACTGTCAACTCGGCAGAATTTCTGCCGCTACAACAACAACAACAACATATACACTACTCGACTAAAAAAGCTGTTCCCAATTAATAAATTTTTCTGTGTACTTTTTGCTTTCTTACTCGTCTGTGAGATATTATTAAGTAATATATATATTTTTCGCATATTATTATTTTTGAAAAGGCAAATTTTCTCAAGCGCAGTTCTTAGCAGTTAGCATTAAACTAGCAGTGCTAATTTCGCAGTGGTGCCAATTTTTACTACATCTCCGAAAAAGCCCTACATACTACTGGAACATAAACCAGTAAGGATATAGTTGCTAAAAAAAAATAAATGTTCTATTATGTACCCATTAGCTTATGTACACATACATACATATATATTTACTTTATTTTTCCAATTAACTATTACAGACAAGTATAATTTTAGAGTATTCTTAATTAAGTAATTATCAATAAAATAAAACTTAAATATTTTGTTATGCATAAAAATCATTTACATTCAATAAAATGATTATGTTAGTATATATTAACTTAACCGTTATATTCCTTTTTGTGATAAAAAACATTTATTTAAATTCATAACTTCAATATTTAAGCTAATCAAATAAATACTTATTATGTAATAAAAAACTAAGCCTATAAAATTCACACATATATTGCAAACTTCTTTATTTTGAGCGTTTCGATTCATTCGAGCCCATTTCTTTGGACATAATTTCTGGCATTTTTCGTTTTCCTTGTTGTTGCACTCTGGTAACAGTCGTTCCGCCGCCGCTAGAAATTTAAAAGAAGAAACAATAGAATTATTAATGAATTTACTTTAAGTAGATATGTATGAACTCAATTGTTTCGAATTATCATTTTTTAGAATTTTCGGTTAGAAGTTAAAAATCCCAACAACGGCATGAAAAAATGAAAATTTAATTTTTAATCCCAACATCATGGATTAGAAATTATATGTTTGGGATTATGATTGGCATAATTAGAATATTGATAAAAAAAAACTGTTGTTTGGTATCATTACGAATCGCATTAGAGAGCTGTGAAAATTGCCAATCAGACTAAAATTGTCCAAGTCCCAGATACCGAATATGGGGCCCCAGTTCCGAACCTTTATTGAAGATGTCGGTCAATAGCTGACCTACCGATCGCTAATGGCTTAGAGGTAGCAACTTATGCTGATGATACGGCATTTATCGCCACCAGTTTTAATCCTAGTGATGCCTCACTTCACTTACAAGAACAACTTAATATTGTTGAAAAATGGCTAAAGAATTGGAAGATAGAAGTAAATACACAGAAATCTGTTCAAATAACGTTTACGTTAAGGACTGAGAAATGTCCCACCGTAAGGTTAAATGGCTCCATAATACCTAAAATTGAAACTGTGAAATACCTTGGTCTTTATTTGGACAGACGACTCACTTGGAAGATACACATAAAAGAAAAAACGAAGCAACTCAAATTTAAAACTAAAAATATGTACTGGCTTTTAGGTCAGCGATCTCAACTTAGCCTTGATATCAATCGAAAACTTTAAGAAGCATTGTAAGTGCTCCTTGGTTTGTGMGCAACTTCGAAATCCATAAAGACTTAAATATACCTTTTATTAAAGACGAAATCAGCAAATCTTGTCGAAAATATTTGGATAAATTTTCTAATCGTGAAAACTTACTGGCAATAAGTTTACTAGACAGCAGTATGGATGTTAGACGCTTAAAACGAACTCACATTTTGGATCTTCCATATACATAGATTAAGTAGTTTTAAGAAGTTTAAGCAAATAAATAATTTACGAATATATTGATTAGTCTCAATGGAGAACAATCAATCCTGTCACTATTAATGTATTTAAAAAATTTGCTGATTGTCATTTGATAGATTGCGAATAAATATATATTAAAACAAAAAAATATATATATATTATTTAAATTCCTCAGAAATAGTATGCTTGTAATTCAAAAATGAGTTGAATCATACTCGTATTAATAATTCAATTACCTTGGTATACCTAAATAATATAAAGATTTTCGGACTTTCAGTTGTCTTTATACCTTAAGTCAAAAGTTCTGATTTTTTTTAACGTTAGTAGGCCCGATGGTTGCTGAAATCTCTTCTTTCTGATGGTATTAAAAAATATATAAATGTACTAATAAGTACATAACTTTGGTAAATTTTCTCAGAAGATTCCAAAAAAATACCCCATCGTTTCGGATGGGTTTCATCTTAATACCATTTTCTTTCTCTTTTCTATCTACCCTGGTGTAATACTTTACTGGCTAACGAATTACACCAACTCTCATACGGAGGCTGCTATATATATTTCTTTCCTAGGCAACACTAAGTGTTGCCAGGTGCAATCTGACATTTCCATTGGAAAGTTTAACATATTTTAGCATAACATCACTCATAACGTTCTGTCATTTAATCGTGAATTGTTTTATTTACAGGCAATTAAAAAATTCATCTCTTCCAAAAAATGGAATTAACTCGTGAACATTTTCGTGCGATCATTTTTCACAACTTTCGACGTGGATTATCACGACAAGAGTGCATCGATGAACTAAAATCTTTCTATGGCTATGAAGCACCATCCTGTAGCACTGTGAGAAACTGGTACAACGAATTCAATCGTGGCCGACGCTCGCTCAAAGACGAATTCCGTGAAGGTCGTCCAAAAACAGCCGTTGTGCCAGAAAACATCGATGCCGTACGTGAACTAATAATGCAAGACCGTCATGTAACATACCTTCAGATAGAGGCATGCCTATGCATTTCTCCCACCAGCATACATTCGATATTGCATGAACACCTGGTTCCATCAAAAAGGTTTGTTCTCGTTGGATCATGCGAATCACGAATTATGGATCTATGCGTATTCTTCCAAGACGAGCCAAATCCAACGAAAGTTGTTCGTAGAAGAAGCACTTCGAAGCAAATAGTCGCCTGTTTCTTCGGCAAACTGTTCCGCGACTGTTCCGCTTGAGCAACGGCCAATTCTGAGTGGTACATCACCATTTTTTTGCCTGAAGTCTTCGGAGAAATTCGAAAAACGAACAAGAGAAGACGAATCATTGTGCACCATGACAATGCGAGCTCTCACACATGGGCTCAAACCAGCGCCTTTTTGATCGGCCAAAACGTCGAATTGATGGGTCATCCGCCGTACAGCCCTGACTTGGCACCCAATGACTTCTTTTTATTCCCACACATCAAGAAAATAATGCGTRKTCAACGATTTTCGTCGCCAGAAGATGCTGTTGAAGCATTCAAAAACCATGTTTTGGAGGTGTCTTAATCGGAGTGGAAAAAGTGCTTCAAAAATTGGTTTGAGCGCATGCACAAAAGTGTATAAATCTTGATGGAGAATATTTTGAAAAACAATAAAAGCATTTTCGTTGATAAATATTCCTATTTTCATTATTAGGCCAGAAATATATATAGAGCCCTCGTATACTACGTGTAATGATTTTATTATATTTTAATTTTAACAAGCCTAATGCCGAATTGGTCGGTAAGCGCGTGGATATTAAATTACTTAAAAATATTGTATTTGGACAACGGTAAAAATAAATGCAACAAGGCGGCAGAGACAAGTTTTCTTAAAAATTATATTAACGATTCAGCGCTGAAAATTAAAGGATTTTGCGCAGACCTTCATCTAAATGTCATATCCCTAATATTATGAGCTCGAAAAATGAATATTGAGTTCTTTCGCAATATTTTTTTAAATAAAGTTTTGCAAACACCTCTTAGTATTTAACCAACTTGCATCCTTTCAAGTTGATAGAGTATGAAATGTTCGATTACACCCGAATTTAGCTTTCCTTACTTGCTAAATCTGATTTTGGGACTGAAAATTAAATTTTCAGTTTTTCAATCTTTTTTTACAATTAAATATTAAATTTTTAATTCCAAACATTTTGGATTAAAAATTGGGATTGAACATTGAAAATTGAATTTTAAACCTCAAACTATTTGAATTAAAAACTAGATTTAGAAATAGTTGAACAACCTACCCTTTAGTTGGAGCACCAATCACAAACTTTTTCTGATTAATACAAGTCTCCAGAATGTACTTGTTGTCACTGGGCGACGACGACGAGGATGATTGCTTCGAAGAACTGGGCTGTATTTTAAGTGCACCCGCACCTAAGGGCGCTTTATGCACTTGAACGCTTGTAGCAGATTTTGCTGGTGTAATTTGTGTAGGCAAACGCTTGTCCATAGCGAGTGCTGCTTTGAGGGCATCACTCTGCAACGTTTGTACGCCAGTTTTAATTGGAGGCGTTTGTAGATTGCCATTAAGAGCTTTGACAGTGGCAAGTGTTGTCGGTAATGAGTTCTGTGTCGTTGTTGTTGTTGATGATTTTATTGGTTGGATCTGCACACTTGGCGGTTTGCGTTGAAGTATATTCTTGTTTTTCATCGTCAACAATTTCGACGCAAGTTCGGCCGCGCTCGGCTGAAAGGAATTTTGTGCGCTGCCTTGCGCAGATGTAGATGTGGTTGCAGATTTCAATATTGACTCTGCGTTTGGCGTTAACTTCGTTTTGGTCATTGCATTTGTGGGCTTCGATATGGTACGATTTAGGGATTTCTTGTTGTTTTCAAAAAATTTACTCGCCGCAAAGGGTAGCGTGGGTGTGGGTGTGGGCGATTCACTTGTGTTGTTTGCACTTGACGCCACTTTATTGTTAGTGGGATTTTTCGTTTGCAACTTACTTTGATTGAAATGCTGCTGCTTGTGCGCGCTACTGGTGTTAGTATTTGTAACAGCAGTTAATGAAATGCTTGGTGAGATATCACTAAGATGCTTTGGGATGCTCGTGGACCCAGGAGGGCTGGTCGTGGGTATTATTTGCATTTCAGGATTCGTGCTCATATTATTATCGCTTGGCATTTTAACGCTTGTATTTTTATTTGTAAAAATACTTGGTGCACTGGGCGCGTTGCTGGTTTTGAAAGATGTTTGAAAGCTTGCCAAAGTTGGCATGCCGCTTTGTTGTTGCTGTTGCGTTTCTTTCGCAGATTTCTGATTGGGTGTTAGACGTTCATCGATTGTGTTCGTTGTATGCGTTGTGTGCGCCACATCGATGGGAAAACTACGTTTGGAAGCAACTTGCGGCAGTGGTGAGCTACGAGCACCACTCGAGTTTGTCACCGAAAAATTACTCTTGCCTGCAATGGACAAATCTGTTGCTGTTTTTAGTGTTGTTTTATCGGCTTGTGATTTCTGTGCCGGCGGTTCCATAGCCTTTGGAGAAGGACTATTTAAGCTGGTTAAAGCGTTTTTGTCGAAACTAAGATTGGTGGGCGATGGGTACAGCGGATTACGAAACTGGTTCACAGGTGCGTTCGTAGCACCCTTTGATTTATTGCTATTGCCCGAAAAATCATGTCTGTAATTGACTAGGCTTTTCAAACTATTTTCATACATTTGATAGTCGTAATTCGCCTGTAGGCTACTCGCTGTTGGCGGCGTTGTTGATGGATAAGTGGGCGAGTTATGTTGCCTAGGCGGCAATGTTGGCGTATTTACATTGTGTGACATGTGATTGCCAACCGCGCCCAAGCCAAACATACTCAAATCACCGAGCGCACTGAGCGGATTGGTTTGCAATGGATTGCTGTGCATATTCAAGTCGGGTATAAGCGGATTCGTGCCAAGAGATTTCGGTGGATTTTGTGCGAATGGCGTGCCGAACGCTGCACCGCCAAGCGAAGTACTTATGTCGGGATAGGCAAATGTACCCTCCGCGATTCTTTTTCGCATTTCTAAATATTGCTGATTGGTAGTGTAATTTCCCAAATGCGAAAGATATGGCAAGTATGAGGAAAGTGCCGCAGGCGAATAATTACCGTAATTGAAGAGTGCCGACATTTGCTAAAAGAAAAAAAAATTATTAAGGAGACATAGAGATTATTTGGAATATTAACCACACTTTTTTATATGGCTTCACAAAGTACTGTCTTTATCAATCCAAGCTAAGGACAGAATTATATACATACAAACTTTAAAGGCTTTATAAAAGTAATTTGAGGTAAATAACTATTTTGATTAATTAACAAATTCAATCCGTTTCTGAGAGTAAATTCCATTAAAAAAAAAATCATTTAGGTAAGATAATAATTTTGCATAAAGAATAATTAAATTAATCTGTCAGTCGTAAGGAAAAGTTTTTAATTACAAAAGAAAACTTGACAAGTGTATAGTAAATTAATCGCATTTTCAATGTATTGAAATGAAAAACAAGCCTTTCAAATGATGTCGTTTAGAGCAGATATTATAAAATTGTTGAACGTTTATTTAACCCTACTTTTGTTAAGACAAATTTTTATATATCCAAATGTAAGATGAATTCGATGCAATTAGTTTTTATCTTATTTTTATTAACCAATTAAAAATATGTTATATATTAATGAAGTTGTTTCTATTTAAACCGTCTTGCAGATAGATAATATAATAATAATAATAACTTCTAACTAGCTCCCTGACTTTTACGAAATCAATTTTAATAAATAATAAAGAAAATAGACATTTACAAAAATAACTGGTACCACTTACATTGAAAGCATTTAAAGAACCCATGTACGAAGGAAACTTTGGTGCTGAGAGATTGTTTTGCAGGCTGTCAAATATAAATATTAATTATATTTATTATAAAAACTTTTTAATATTTATGGTTTTTTATATTTATTTCATAAAGTTTAAATGAATACGAGAAAACGTTGATATTTGGTTTTCATTTAGGATGAAATTGTTTAACAAGGTTTTCTCATGCTGATTTTTTGTTTATAAAAATAAATAAAAACCATCTAAATTTTTTAATTAAAAAAATTAAATTTCTACAACAAAAACTATTTATACACCAAAAAGCTGTTCTATTACTATACCACTGCGCTTTAAAAAACAAATTTTGCAATGTTTTGAACAATAAATAAGCTCTTTCTATTAAAGCGTGAAAATCTTGTTCATTACTCACTCATCCGGATTTGGCAATTCGCGAGTTTCTGCAAAATATATTGGCATTAGTACTTTAATTGCAATAAAAAAATTTGTAAATTTGTACATACCAGTACTTAATTGCTGATCTCTTTCGTATGCGGCCCAAGCATCTTGTTTTTCTTGTTCGCTTAATTCTTGTTCCACTTTATTTTCGAGTAAACTATCATGTTCGTGATACTTATACACCAACGAAGGATAATTTAACAGCAAACTAGCTAGGATGCTATCTTGCGGGCAGTCCGGCATAGGCCTATTTTCATAATCTGGCTGTGTTAAACTAGAATGAGGAAAATGTATTGTTTACAAGCAATTTACTCGATTTATATCAAAAGTTCACCTGTATAATTCGGTTAACTCCGCCATGCTGTAATGTCGATCGATTTGTTGTTCATCCACAACTCTAAAACTCATGGCTTGCTTTGTTACCGATCTCGAGTATACTTTTTCTTCCATTGTACCCTACATTTAATTTAAAACGAAAAAAATAGTTAATAGTTTAATGAAAAAATATATTACTTGGAAATTAAAGAAATAAGTTTATAATCCTAAAAATCTATATTTAATAGGTTATGTACCTTCAAGCTATTTGATAAAAAATAAAGTCATACAAAACAAAGTCTTACCATCGCTAATAGCCGGTAAATGTAGCAATTTTTCTTTTGGCCTAAACGAAATACACGAAAAATATTTTGCTGATCGTTCGAAGGATTCCATGATGTATCTAGTATTATTACTCTATTAGCGCCAGTTAAATTAATGCCCTGGCCGCCCGCCCTCGATGATATCAAGAAAACGCGCGCTCGTTTATTCGAAATCGAATTGAATTGTTCAATCATTTCATGGCGTATCAACTTCGGCGTTTTGCCATCTAAACGATAGTAATCCTTTCCGAGTATCCATGTGTTTTTGACTTGATAGCCTTGCGACATTTCTACACCAAATAAATTAGAATATCATTTATATTTATATAAAATAATGTCATTTCATATTTACTACATACTTAATTCGTTTAAGGTATCTGGATCTTTGTCATTCATTTTTTTGAAAAAGTATTCCACAACATTTAATACTGCTACAAAAGCGGAGAATATCAAACTGAAAGTATTTGTTATATTATAAACAAAAATTCGCATATAGATTTTAAACTTAAGACAGACAACTTGCCATTTCTCGCCCTTCTCTTCGCACATACGTAATATTTCAAACATTGTGCGCAGCTTATTGCTAGGCAATATGGCTTCTAAATCCTTTTCTGTAAGTAAACTACGCCACCAATCGTTCGTCACAGATATAACACCAGTTTGACTGTCGTAGACGTCGTCAGGCTGATCATCGTCTGAGTTGACAGCCTGATTTTTTCGCGGATCTTTTTTATGCTTTTGCTAAAAATTAAATTAAGACATGTTTTAAAATTTTCAAATGGTTACTTTGCATTGCTCACAGCTGTCGCATTTTTCCACGCATCCTCTAATACTTTTGGATGAGTCCAAATCTATAAAAAAAAATTGTAATAATGAATAAATTAGGTAAAATAACTTCTATATTACTCACCTTTCGTAAGCATGTGTAATCTGTTATCAAACCTTTGCCTCTATCATCCTTTTTCGAAATTATAGCTAAACTGTGTTCATAAAGCACCGTCTGTAAAACCAAATTTGAATAATTTTAATAAGTCTTTTTTTTTTTTTTTTGTATTTATGATAAATGATTTCATTTATAATACTCTAAACCCATGAAGTTTGAAACGCCAAGAAGGAAAAGTCACAAGCCGCTTCAAGCATGTAGTATACAAATGATCAGGGTGGCTAGCTGTCTGTCTATCTATATATAAGTCGTAAATTTTTGAGATATCATTCTGATATTTTACACATCTCGAAATGCGTTGTAGCTGATCGACTTCGTTGAAGTCCGAAATATGGTTATATGTAGTACTAGACTCCAACATTGGAAAAATCATCAAGCTACGTGACTGTCTCCGGAACGAAAAGCCACCAACCAGATCGATCATATTGTGATAGATGAAAGACGCGTCTCCAGATCTTGTTGCAACGAAGATACGCACTCGTCTCTGCTCGCTCGTCAACAAACACAAGGAATGTTCGACGTCGAGAAGCTGCAATCACAACAGACAGCCAAACGATTTTCTGCTCGACTTGCACTCCCGCTCTCTGAGAGCCCTCACCAGCATTCGGTGTAAGGGAACTGTGGTACGACATTTTAAGCTCCGTTCCATTGCCCAATCCTGAAGACGTTCGAATATCAATTACCAGTCTGAATGCCCAATCCACAAAAAGCAAGACAATTAACTGATTGGACTTTATCCGTATGGCGTCAGGCCAGGACCAATGCTCCAAGTCTTGGAAAAGACTCGTGAAAAGAGAATCGCCATACACCACTTCTTCGTCAATTTTGAAGCTGCGTTTGACGCCACTTTATGCCGCTATGTCTGAATGCCTGCAAAACTAATACGGCTATGTAAACTGACGCTGAGCAATTACCAATAGCTCAGGATCAGGAAGGATCTCTCCGAGCCGTTCGATACCTAACAAGGTTTCAAACAAAGCGACTCCCAATCGTGCGACTACTTTAGGATATATCTGTCATACAAACGGTTCGATCAAAATAAATCTCTGTAGGAAAACTTTTTTTATTTAAAGCGATTTTTTCGGGAAATTTCAACTGAATTATTGTCCAAAGCAAAGCTAGCATATAGCTGTTATTTTAATTTGACAATTTATCTTCACGAAATTTGGCATCGATCGGACTACCATAACATATCCTTGTCATACAAATTTGATCGATCGAGATCAAGTCCTTGTATGGAAAAATTTTTTATTTTACGAGATTTCCTCGCAAATTTTGCATGGATTATTATCCTAGACAGCGCTACAATCACCGAACAAATTTTTTTAGATCGAACTACCATAGCATATCGCTGTCATACAAACTGACCGATCTATTTTGTATAGCAAACTTTTAATTTAACAAATTATCTTCAGGAAATTCGACATTATGTTATTATTGGCTAAAACAACAATACAATTTCCGAACAAAATTTTTAGATCGAACCAAATATTTATATATACATATGTATATATCGAATGACCAAAATCAAGTTTTGTATCTAACATTTTTTTTTTTTTTGCGAAGAGTACTTTAGCTTTGGTGCTGCCAAGGTTAACGGTTTTCTGGTTTTAACTAAATTCTTTATATTTCAGAAAAATTTAGAAAATATTATACCGAAATCCCTTACCTGAACTTTTGTCATTGGTACAAACAGCACATATTCGTATTTTTGGGGCAAGAAGGTTTTTAAGAGCTCAGCTTCTTTTCTCTATGACAAAGCATAAAAATAATATTAAATAATGTATATATATTAGCTATTAGTTTCGGTGTATTTCACTCACCTGCACAAACTTAGAAAGTTTCTTATGTAGCACAAAGGACCGTTGTTTCATTACTTGTATGTCCCTTTTGCTTGAATCCTTGTGCTGGCCATTTTTAATTGGATTAGCGTATAGGTTAGCGAATTCTTTTTCAGTACCCAGAAATAGCGGTTTTATGAAATTCACCATGCTGTAATCTAGAAGTATTTAGAAATAAGTATAAAAGGGTATGGTATGTAGTGGAATAATCCGAAAATAAGGATGAAAGCAAGACGTAAACGTTGTTTTTAGTAAAAAAAATAATAAGTTAACTTCAGCCAACCGAAACTATAAAACCTTACATCTAGTTTAAATGATAGTTATATTCTACAGTGGTCCGATACGGACAATTTGTCCGGGAATAGAAGCGTTGCCTTAGACAACTTGTCAAATAGAATTATATTGCTTGTTGCTGTTGTTATATAATCACCGATTGAGTGGTAAGGTTCAGGTAGGTTGCCATTGAGTTTATCTAACGGTAGGTTCGGGAAACGTACTGCTTTCACAATGTCGGACGATAGGGAGAGGGGTATTAGATTAGTGGCGTTAGATGGGCATGCAAAGAGTTGGTTAGAGCCATGCGGGGAATAGTTACATTCTGGGCATATATTTGGTATGTCAGGGTCGATTCCGGATAAGTAGGAGTTTAATCTATCGCAGTATCCAGAACGAAATTTTGCAAAGGTCACTCTAGATTCGTGCAGCAACACGAGCTCATCGTCTGCAAAGAACGGTGGGTTAACTCCAAGTACGCCAATCACTAAAAGGGAGTCGAGGAAGGTGTTAATGGCTCCACTGTAAATCAGAAATCTAATCAACGTACTGTCCAATGGCGTCAACGAGATCAAGGAAAGACCTCATTAGAGAGAAGCAGAAGAGGTGATAGAAATCTCTGTGGTTGCGGAAGTTTCGAAATGTAGAAATGAAACAGGAACGGCCACTAAGGTAGTTCGTAGTCCACCAATTCAATATCCTCGAGCAGCGTTGTGTGGATGACTGTGTCAAAAGTTGTCCAACGCTACGAGGATCGTCCTCTCATAAGATGGTTTATGGTTTAAGCCATGAACTATGTGAGCGTTTACGACGTTAAATGCTGTGATGGTGCTGTGCATTTTGAAGAAGCCTTGCTGATGAGTGATCGGTCAATTATAATGGCAACTGATCTGAGCAACTTGTTTGGAAATTCTATCATATTTCGTAAACACATCTTTCTAAATAAAAAAAAACTTTTCCATACAATAACTGGATTTTGATCGGTCGGATATTGGCGATTCTGACAAATTTTCCTTGGGGTTAATCGAAAAATTTCATATCGATATCGCAAAATGTGAAGAACAGGGCTCAGCTCGTCACGCTGATCTTGTGTGTAAAAAAAATCTAAGTTTCGGCTTATTTTTGGTAAATAAAAAATAAATAAAGAAAGGAACAAGTAAATAAAGCAAATAACAAATAATGCAAAAAAAATATAAGTTTTTGTAATAAAGAAATTATATTGTTGATTTGTACAACAGAAAAATAATTGTTAAATAGTAGTAAGTCAATAGTAATTTTATTATAAGAAATAAGTTGTTTTGTTGATTTGTAAAAACAACATATTAATTTTTAAATCTTATAATAATAAAATAATAGTAACTTAAAATTGTTTTGGTAATTTGTCAAAATTTTCAGTTAGAAATTGTCAGCATATCAAATATTAAATCACTACCGTGCATAAGAATCTTTTATTTTATACTTACATTCTTTTAAATTGTTCTGTATGGGAGTACCCGTTAAAACGATTCGCTTCTGAGTTTTAATTTGTGACACAGCCAAACTGATTGCTGATTTGCTGTTTTTAATAATGTGACCTTCATCGCAAACCACTAAATCGGCACCTTTAATAAGATTATTTTAATATAATTATCAATTAATAACTTGAATAAATGAAAATACCTGGACTTAACAAATATTTGTCGACATCGTTGCGAATGCTTTCGAGGCGTGACTGGGCAATACTGCGATTCTTATACGAATGATAGAAAACCAGTGTTCTGAAAGCCTCATAGCCAATTAGCAATATACCAGCAGCATTTGCAGTAGCTTGAGACCACTCTTTAAGTATTTGAATTTTATCGTTGATGTCACTATGGAAATTTTGTAAAACAAATGAATAAATAAGTAATATTAATTTAGAGTAATATTGAATTTTTCTTACGACGTATCATGAAATGTATAATATTTCGGCTTTAGTGGACCTAGCCAACGATCAATTTCATCGGCCCAATTCATAACTGTGCTTTTAGGGCATAATACAAGTACTTTAGATGTCTTCAATTCCTTATATGAAATAACTGTATGCAGTAATGCAATTAGCTGTAATGTAAACAGATACGCATTTTTTAATTTAATGCAGCGATTTCTAGCGTTATCACTTTACCTGTAGGGTTTTTCCCAAACCCATGCAATGCGCTAAAATACAACCAGAGCCAGAGCTTTTCTTAAGTGCCTCAACGCCACCATAACAGGAATCGTACATAAATTTTACACCGTCACGCTGATGTTGTTTCAAATATTTCACTATATCCGGATGTACTTTAATGAAGGTTTTCATTTCATCATTGTAATCTAAAATTAAATTGTTGTCGCCTTGCACATCGGGTCGCTCCTTCAATAATTTGGCCAACACTTTGTGTTTTTTCTCCAAACGTCGTATACGTTCTGTTTCGTTGCGTTGTGCTTCACGTGTTACCGTTGCTAACTGTTCCGGACGTAACATTGGTTTGATACGAGATTTAGACTCGTCTACTGCTTCCACATCGGACGATTCACTTTCCGAGCTAAGACTTATCGAGTCACAAAGTCGATTCATTTTCTTTCTCTTCTCAACAACAGACAGCATTTTCTCCAAAGATTTGGGTTTACTTTGTTTTTGTGTTGACGCAACCATTTCATCGAGTACTTCGCAATCAGAATTTTCCGATGAATTCGTCTTGTTTTTATCAGCTATTGTGTTTTTGGCATCAGTAATTTCCTGTTCTGTGGGTTTTTTCAAATCCCCCGTTTTATCATATACTTCCGTCTCTTCGTCGCTTTCATTGACATTGAAGTTCTTCAGAAATCTCTCAACTAAAGGTGAACTACTACCTTCATTGCTAGATAGTATCTCCTCTATATTATCACTGACATCCGTTTCGGACGTTTCGCTATCGGATTCACTGAGCAATTGTTGCTTTACATTCTCATTGCATCGCTTCAAAAATTGTTTTTCCGTTATAATCTCTTCCTCACTCTTCGAAAACAAACATATACAAAAAAAGTGTGTCAGTTAATGTTACATGAAATTTAAAAAAATTAAGCATTTTACATGGTTTATTAAATTAACGACGAAGCTTGTAACGTTCTAAAGTAAACGTCAGAAACCCTATAAAATATGCATATAAAAGATCAGCGTGACGAGCTGAGTCGATTTAGCCATGTCCGTCTGCCTGTTTGTCCGACTGTCTGTGTCTGTCTATATTACACAAACTAGTTCCTATGTGTTTTAGATAGTAATCTGAAGTTGTGCACATGTTTTTTTATATCGAAAAAGTTTCTCATTTGTCGGTATCGCCGACATCGGACCACTTTAGTATATAACTGCCATACAAACTGAATGATCAAAATCAAGTTCTTGCATGTAAGTTTTTTATTTGACGAGAGATACGCACGGAATTCGGCATGGATTATTGTCCAAAACAAAGTTACAATCTCCTAATAAATTATTAACATCGGACACCTATAGCATTTAAGTGAAATTCAAACAGTACCATCAAAATAAAGTTCTGGTATGGAAGCTTTCTTATATATCTACGAAATTAAAGTTTTTCCTTGTTTTTCTCTAAATGACTTACTTCGGTTATGCTGGCGTCGGAAAATATTTCTGTCTGAATATCGTCATCAATGTAATCATCAGCTATATCTTTGTTTTTACTGGTAGTAGATTTTGTTTTAACTTTTTCATTTAAGTCTGCCGATTTTGGTGCTCCAAGATTTGTTCGCTTTATCAGCCCATTCAAATTAATTAATCTAAAATTTCAATTAGACAAATATTCTTTAATTAAAGTAGAAATATAGTTTCGCAATAAATTGTTACCGTTCAATTTCTTTGTCGCCTTCATTTTGAGAATTCTTACTACTCAAAGTTTTTCCCGCTGAATTTTCTTTGTCGCTTTCATTCTGCGCACCGTTTTGCACAGAATTAGCATCCGTACTACTCTTCTTACGTTGAAAAGTATCCCGTTCTTCGCTTTCGTCGCTATCACTTAAATTATTTTTCTTATTTACATTGCGGATGTTAGTGAAATTCTCACTGCAAAAAGTTTCAGTTTCGAATATTTCAGATTGCGTATACTCCGCCAAAGGTACACCATCGTCATATTCCGCAGCAATGCTTTCTTTTTTATGTGCACTAAGCAATTGCGCTGCAGCATTTATATCCGAATTTTTCGTTGAGCCCTTTAAGCGAATTCTATTTCCTGGTAATTTTATAAAAGCTTCCGTCTGACTGGTGTCACTTGAACTGTCTGAATCCGTAGGATCTAATAAAATGTGCTTATTGCTTTGATTTAGTTTGCGTAATTTATTTTTAGATAATCTACTGTCTGTCTGCATCGACTTATCCTCATAACGAACGGCGGCAGATGATTTTACTATTCTTTTAAATATTTCGAATTGTTCCTGCAAATATTTTTGAAGCTTATTTTCGATGGTTGTTGTGGACGAAGTAAAAGTGTCACAATCGTTTTGCAAAGATTTAGCAAACGACTTTAGTGTCTCTAAATGGTGAATAACGGTCAGATTTTCATTACAATTAATATCGAATGCTTCATCGAAAGTTGAGTGTTCCATTGGTTCCGAACAATTCTCTATTGGCGACGGTACAGATGCAATGTTAACAGTCTTGAAATCAACTTCGTCTTGTGGAAAACTTTCTTTTTCCTTACGATCAGTTGCTAATTTATTAATTTCATTTGGCGTTGTGCTGTCCATAGTCGATTGTTTTGTAGAGTTATCTTTAACAAGCAATTCCCCAGTAGTGGTATCAAGATCTATGTCATCGTTTTCACCATAATGATTTTTAAATTTTTCCAAATTTGCACAAAATATTGCTGGCTTTGCGCAGAACTGAGCGGAGGTATTTTCCACTATTTGCTTCATAGCTGTCGCAGCATTTTTCAATTCAATACTGCTTTCGCTTTTTGTATTATCCAATATTCTCGAACAATTCTTTTCTGACAGCGGTCCAAATGAAATAATTTTTAATTCAGGCTCTATTTTTTGTTCCGAATTTTTCATTCTTTTATCACTTGCTGTGTTGTATGTGTGACTGTTTTTATGGAAGTAATCAAAACAAGTTTTATTTTTTGATTCAGTATCTGTAATAGTACTTGATTTATTTGAACAATCACTTTGTAAGGCATGTTCTAAGGGTTCCGAACAAATTTCTTGTAGCGATGGTATAGAGGATATATTCATAGTAATATTTTCATTACTATTCGCTGTTGTTTTAGATGAATCAGTTGAATTTATTTCATCATCAAATTGTGTATTTTTCTTACTTGTTTCATCCGTGACCACTGACTCAGCAGAATTTTTATGCGCTAAAGTTTTTAAGTCCACGTCAAATATAGCACTTTTTGAAGATTTCTCTTCTCCGAAAATCTCTATTAAGTTTAATGTATCAACCTTAGAAATCTTATTATCTTTATCTTCTTGGGTACTAAATGTATTAATACTTTCTAAAGTTCTGTCTACAAAATCATTGACAAGATTTAGGGCAGTAGAGGAACGATCCTCTCTACTAATAATATGATGGAACAAAAGTTTGCGCAAACTATCGCCATTAGTTAATTGGCTTTGGGAAGTGTAATTATGGTCGTTCATTATATGTGAAATGTCGCTGTCAGTATCAACATTTGTAATTAATTCGTCATTGGTAGTGTAATGTGAGTCCTGCCTTAGGATTGCATTGTTGAGTAGATCGTTGTGTTGATTATTGCTATTGATATTATTTTTATCAGTAATCTCATATACATTTCCTATTTCTACCTCTGGTGCAGCACAGTTCAAATTTATGTCATCCTTATACTGCTCCTCTATATAATAATCACCAATTTGTTCTTCTAAAATCTTTTCGGTTTCGCATGTAAATTCCATTTTGATGTCGTTGGGTTTTATTATGGAACTTTTTATTACATTTATTGGAGCAATATCACTGGTCGCTTGTAATTTGTCGTCGCCAATTTGCTTAGACTCATGACAAGCTTCAATACGTAAATCATTGGCATATTTTGATAGAGAAGTAATTTCTTCCTCAGCGAAATCCCCATTTAATGTTTGCGAAGCAGTTTCCTTATTCACAACAGTTACATCTTCGGTATGCGAATAAATTGAGTAGTTATCAACGTTTAGTCCTTTAAAGACGTCTAGCTGCTTTTGAGGTCTTTGTATCTCCACATTTTTATTTCCACACACATAATTGGTGACACCAACTTCTTCATCATTATTATTATTTAATCTGACACTGGTACTTGGATTATCATTATAATTCTGATATATTTTTTCCACAGATGAAACATGTTCAATGTTTGGACAGTTTCGCAAATTCTCCTCGACTTCCTCCTGACTGAGAAAATTATCTTCATCGAAACTCAAAAGAGTACTCAAAGTATCCGACACTTCCTGATCGATATCTCTTGACATATTGCTTTTATTTATTATACATTTGCTGGAATACAAAAATTCAATTCAAATACAATTTTACGCTTCATTATTTTACGATGTATTATACCAAATGGGAACTTCCGCAATTACATATTTTTCTTATCTTCCTTTAACAATTGTTCAATATTGTAATAAAAGATTTATAATAACAAAATAAATTCTTTCCACCATCGACAAACAAATGTTTTCATCGTATAATGTTTACTGCTGATCTCTTTATTCATGTCAATGGGAATTGGTGGAATGAAACACAAAGTGATTATTTACAAAAGCAAATATGATATGTGATTTGCATTTCAATTGTCTATTCACAAAAAGCAACAATACATTTGGGATCAGTTTAACTGTTGTTAATTAAATTGGGGCTTTCAGGAGTAATTTGATCAAAAGAGAATAAAAACCACTACGTTTTCACTACGTCGACACTAACTGAAGCATTAGCGTCCTTTAAGACCTGTAACGGAGAAACTAAGTACTATTTTTTTTATACAGTTTACCCTGTATTTCTGTTCTTCATTTCACTTTGTCCCATATGCCATTCTTTGTTTTTATTTTTAGTTGTTACTGAATATTTAGTAAACATTATTGCGACCAAATATTTTGTGTACTAAAATTGTCAGAATCATGTCTGCGCTAGCTAGAAGTAGTGGTAATATAAACAAAAAGGATAAAAGTCCGAACAATGTAATAAAAATTCCTAAAAGTGTATTTGAAAGAACATTAGAAGTAATAAATAATCCTCAACATCCAGCATGGACTGACCGAAATAATTCTTGCGCAAAAGCTATTCATCGTAGCGCAGAAAATAACATAAGGGGCATGCGTTCAGTAGACATTTGCACAAGGATGTTTTTGGCAAGAACTTGTTTAATGAAGCGGGATCTTAAAAATCTAGCAAAGGTACTTACTGTTACTACTCCGAGTGGCGGACGAATAGATGCCAGATGGTACCCACTTTGTCTAAAGGTAATCTAATAAGCATATTTAAAAGTAGTTAAAATTTACAAATACAGAATCTTTGAAAAACTTTATATACATGTATATAAATGACATTCTTATAGCGTTATTACTTTTTAATAATTTCTTTAAAATCGAAGTTATATCAAATTTGTTCATTTTAATGAAGGATAGACTGATATTATGTATATATGTATATTTTAATTCCAGTACGGAGTACTTTGTTTGGCGCATAAGAACCATCCTTTATTCAATTTGTACCTGCAATCATTGGCTTCATCAGATAATAGCGAAGAAACTGTGAAAAAGTGTACACAATATTCGCAAAATGTAGAAACATGTAATAAATAAGAAACAAACTTGCAATTTAAATCTGCATTTTATTTATTTTTTCATTACATACTAATATTACATATTTGTTTGAGTTCAAAGTGAATATTAAATTTTAAGGGCTAAAACGCACGATTCAACGAATATGCTGTTTTTTAGTAGAGTAACACTACCAAATATAATCTTATTACTAAAAGAACGATACATTTAAAATCCATAGCAAATTTTATTTGCTTTCAATAAACGGTTATTGAATGCTAACGCATGGAGTGCAAACTTCAATGAAAACCATATCGTGTACAAATACTGAATACTCCATAAAATATCAATATTCTTCAATATTTTTATATGTAGTATTTCTTCTGAAATATGTTTATGTTAGAAGTTCAAAGTTTTAAACTATGCTATTGGCATCGTGTATATTTAGAGGCACAAATTCTCACATCGCAGCTCTCACCTGCCTTTATGCCAATAAATATACTTGAAAAGATACATACAGTTAAATACATTATTTATTATTAACCTTGCAGGATCTGAATACGCATACCTACGGTTCATATAGTCTCCACGACTTTTTTTCTTGTAAATCCTTTATAATTGTAAGTATTGGAGTAATTGTAACATTACATCAGACTAACAAGCAGTTTTTCCATTAATCATTTTGTAACTATTTATGTTCTTTAAATGTTAAGATTATTAATTGGGAAAATCAAACTGTGTTTCGGTAATTTTTAAGTATTTTGCACAGTCCTTAATAAACATCATCTTCCATGGAAAAATCGGATGTTTCTCCAGCGTAAATTGAACTGAAATACAGTAAATTTATTATAATGATTTTTGAATGATGGAAATTAACTTACTTTACTGCTCGACATGTAAAAAAGACGATGCGTTTTAACTTTTTGTTATAAAAGAAGTAGTTAAAAGACCACAAACAACCGGGTTCACCAAAGGGATCAGAACTTAAGTCGGGATTGTAGCTGTAAATGTCACAATCAGATAAGTTAATTTCATCATCTATAGCCGTCCATAAGGGTTGACGTAAGACTTGATATTGGTCTCCAGCTAAAGCCGATAAATTAGAATGAACTGAGTTCATCACCCACTGTAGCGAAGGTTCTTTGCTAAATTCATGAGACTGTAATGGAAAAACCGAATATTTGGTAAAAAAAAAATTTGCTGAGCTCTAAAATATCATCGCAGAAATTCAAGGATAAAATAATTTTTGTTATGAATCCTACCTTGGCATCAGAAAAATCGTAATCTGGTTCAAATGAAGCATTCAATGTAGCAATCAAGTAGAAAAGAGTCTTGCGAGATATTGTATCGCAAAGGATTATTCCTTCGTCCCCCGACTGGCTATTGTTGCGATGGAAGTTCGGTGAAAGGTCAGCTAAGGTTTGTGGTGGTGAAAGTGCTTGTAGATCATGTGGTCCAACACCGTGTGTATCAGCGGTGAATCTTTTATATAAAGCTTTATCAGCCGCTACCATTTTGCAGGAATAGCTCTCAATACGACCAAAGATAGTACTCCCACCAGTTTGTATAGACAATGCATTATTAATCGCCTCAAAACGCGAACTCTCCAACAACTTCATTTTGCAAAAGAATTAGTTATATACCAACAACTTGTTAATAAAATGTTATGATGATTTTGACCGTTTCAAAGCTTATAATTATAGCGTATTCCGTATGATTATTTGATCCTGAAGGTTTCACGTATTTATTCCCGTCTTGAAATCTTTTACATTAACGATGCATATATCTTAATGGCCTAATTATATTGTAGACTCACGCAAATACTTTGCAATGGTCAATCTAAACACAAACTCTTATTCTCGCCGGTTGGTTAGCAATTCTGAATTGTTGTTTTGGGTATACTATCATTGCCGTTATCAGATTTTCACCTATGTTTGTGTTCTTAAACATCGTAGATGGATGAACAATTAGTCTCTTTTTAACTATAACGCGCTTTACTTTTGAGTTATACAACTTAATTTGATCACACTGCTTAGTAAACATTACACTTTGGGCAACAAAATGTCTTTATTCTATTTATATAGCGATCTGCACATATATTCTTAGCAGATGTATTATATAATTTTATTATTTGAATAACGGCACTGTAAGAGTTCAATTGTTCAGAACGAAAACCAAACAAGTCGCATGCAAGCAAAAGGTCAAAATATTCAAAATGGCGTACACTGGATCTTGTTTGTATACTATTGATACCAGGTATTTGTTATTAGATTTAGTATACAATTTTTCCAATAGGTAGTACTCAAACCTATTAAGAATAAGCACACTTTCCTTCGTCCCGATTCCACTTCTTCTATAAATGTTCAAAGTCACCTGAATCACTCATTTTTGCATATAATATTGACACCAACATTACCAGGAACAAATATATGTATATAACCAGGAAAGTAAAATCATATATATGCAGGTGATATTTCTTTTCGGAGTTTCTTTCGTAAAAATTCACCAATCAGTTTGCCTGCAATCGATTTTTCATAAATAATTTCTCTTCCTCACTAAGAAAACACAATTAGAAATTCTTTTGGTATACGATTAATATCATTAATATAATGGCTCAATTCTTAGTCGTTTCTTCTTTGTGATTACTTTTCTTTAGTATATATATCCGGTTATTTTCATTATCAATATTCGTTAATATGGAATCGGTTCAATACTTTCGCAGTTAAGGGGCATTTATAGTGCGATTCTGTATACAGACTGTGATACAGTTTCAAGTCTCTAAATTTGAGATGTTAAGTTAGAGACAATTTTTGAGACTTGAGACGATTTTGCTATTCTGTAAATGACAGTCACAAAATCTATTACATTTAATAATTCAGAGATGTTTTTATACTTGAATGAAAATAAATATGTTGATTAGATTTTAAAATAGAATGGTTATAAATTTAGTATACCTTCTCAGGATTTCGGGATTAAAATGGGTATGGTCGGATAGAGGAGATTCTCCAGATCAAGAATATATATAGTTATAGCCGCAGGAAGCTTTAATTTTAATTACGTATTTTCTCGATATAAAATTAATTTTTCACTTTTATATCCACTAACACATCACTAATACATTTGTAAAAATTTATTTTATATTATGTAGTAGAAAAATAGTTTTAATTTCATATTAAAACAACTTATAAAAATAAAATATAAATATTTTTTTTTAATTTAATAAAACAAATGTGTAGAACTCCTGCGTGGGCGGCCCTCGTCCGCGCTTCAAAAAAAATAATCCTGGTCTAATATATATTCAAAATGGCAGACAAGAGTTCCTTTTGGTTTTGTAACCCGCTAACTTCCAGGTCTCAAATTTGAGGCAATATTTTGAGACTAACGCTACTAGTCACAATTTGAGACTTTACCTCAAAATGCCTCACGTAGAGACTAGAGACTGGTTACAGAATCCCGCCATTAGGTTGAGACAGTTATTCATATATTTATATATCATTTTAACCATGCGCTTCTATACTGTGATACAATCTCTAATTTTGAGATTTTAAATTAGAGACAATTTTTGTGACTTGAGACGACTTTGCTATTCTGTAAGTGACAGCCACAAAATCTATTACATTTCATTATTTAGAGATGTTTTTATACTTGAATGAAAATAAATATGTTGATAACAAATATTACATTTTCTATAAAATAGTCAAAAAAGATAATTACCAATAAAAACAAAAGTGTATGTTAACTTTGTTTCATAATATTTACGATATAAGAAACGAGAATTGATTAAAACAAGAGTTCTTTTTAGTTTTGTGACCTGCTAACTATCAGGTCACAAAGTTAAGACAATATTTTGAGACTAGAGACTGTTTAGTTGATAGTAAATAGTCATAAATTGAGACTTTACTTCAAAATGT